AATTCACATAGTAAGGATCAATACATTTGATAATGTTGATTATATTGTCTATTGCTAATAATGTTTTTGTTTTTTCCTTAAATCATATTAATAGAGTGCTTCTAGTATTTTCTGTACTTTCTCATTTGTTACTTTGTAAACTTATTATTTTATGTGCAGCGTCACAGTCCCCAATTTGCAAAATAGTATTTTGTGAACCTTCCTTATAGTTTATCTCCCAAACAGAGTATTTCTTTCTTATATTATATAATATATATATATAATATATATATATATACAGGTGAAAGAACCTAAGGTATGATAACAACCCCATTCGGGACCTTTTATGATTCAATTATTAACACACCGCTAAGTATACAGCGAAACACATGCGCATAAACATTGCAGGATATACATTTCCACATTGATTTTATCTTTATTTCTTTTTTTTTAAATGAAAAAAGCAGAGTTGGGCTCGTCTACTCTTTCTACTAAATATATTACAATGTGTACGAATAAAATTTGAAATCGGTTCAGTAGTTTCGGAGTTCACCCGGACAAACATCAATAATGATAGAAATTTGCTCTATTGGTTTGAAAACTGACTAAAAGCAGCGCCAAACGCGAGTGAACTTTAAACTAAGATTCAGTTCTTGGATAAGGATCATCAATAGTGAAATTAACTTAAGTTTAATTCATCAAATCATAATAATTATTCTCATACATGCAACTTTATAAAATTAAGGGCGCGTCGACCCAGGCGCCAAAATAACCGGGTCGTTGTTATTTGCTATTTAAGTTGAAATTTTGGGAAAAATAAAGCATATTCTAAGTTCAAATTATATATTATGAGGCAATAATTGTATAAATGAATTTATTGTTAGTAGCCACCCACCCACACACACACACACACACGCATATATATATATATATATATATTCTGATGTGATTTGAATATCTGCTAACGGAATTTGCCACTATCACGTTTTAGCGAACTTACTAATTAATGTATGAGATTCATAATAAATTACGAGCTTTGTAGATATGCACGCTTCCATAATTTTATATCAACACACACACACATGTACATACACACACATACTTTGATGTCAATTTAATATTCAATCTCTGCTTTCTGCTAAATTAAATCAGTACTTTTAATCCTTTGTTAATTTATGAAGTTCATCAAGATAATAAAGTTTTCTAAAGGATACACTAATATAAAATATTTTTTTTATTTAATTTAATTTATTGTAATACTAATAAAAGGTTTTTAAAGTATAGCACATAAATTTGGGATGATTAAATCCCAAATTATAATTAGTCGCTTTTTGGCTCTCAATGAGCTTTTTTAGGTAATTGTATACTATCAGTATATCAGTTTGTTTGTCTATGATTTTGCAGCGTGTTTCTCAGTTTGTCAAGTGTTAATCACAGTGCCTTGTTTTGTGTAGTCTGTAGCCTCCGTAATTTCGTCTTTATAAAAAGCTAGCTAAAATTAAACCTTTATTGAATTACTATATATTTTAGAAGATAATATCACAATATGAATGTTTTTGAAAAATTTAATTGTCACTCGATATTAGTCATATATTGGCTTAGTTGCTAACTTCTTCAAAATTATTTTGAACAATTATCAATTTTTTGATGAAATTAATAGTTTAATGGAATAATACATGTTGGATCAGTTTTCACTTATTTTTCATATACATTTGTATTTTTTCCATCAGAACCAAATACGTTTTCAATAGCAAATTAAACACGAATACAAATATTTACTCAAATGGGATATACAAACGTAAACACCATTAGTAAAATCGTTGCAATTATCAACGAGATATTGATGAGCAAAATATTTGCATACACATTGACATACATGGATGGATAGAGGATTAATTAAAAATTCGTTGTATGAAAAACCCAGATGCAAAAAAAACTAAGTCTGTGAAGAAAGCAAACATAAATAATAATTAATGTTCAAATTTTTTCTCATAATAAAAATTCATTTACTCTACAAAACCCATTAAATGTAATTCATAGCACTAGCACATAATTCTGAATTTTATTACAACATTTAATAAATTTAATAACACGAATTTTATGACCGTCTTCGCCACGTGAAAAGTTAGTTCTAAAAATAGGTAATGACGTTGTTTTCTATTTTATGGACAGCATTTTCTTGTTTAGGTAAAAAAAATCTAGATATTCATAAAAATTAAGTTTTACTTATATAAAATAATGTATTTTAATAGCACTCCAGCTCTCAACATTATTAGAAAGCTATAAAACAAAACTAAAACCCGGATGTTTTGGCGCCCGGGTTGACGCTCCCTAAATTTCATAGCGTTTAGTGTGTGGGAAACTTTTTATTTTAAAAATAAAATTCAAGAGTATGCAATTGATATTAAATTCAGATATACTTGTCAATACACAAAATTCTGCCAATTGTCCATGGTGTATTTATTTGTCAATCACACAAATTAATCTTAATAATCAAGTTTAGGTTTAAGTATCTCAATATCATTAGAAAGCTATAAAACAAAACCAAAACCCGGATGTTTTGGCGCCCGGGTCGACGCGCCCTAAATTTCATAGTTTTGTGTGTGTGATACTTTTTATTTCAAAAATAAAATCCAAGAGTATGTAATGGATATTAAATTCAGATATACTTGTCAAAACACAAAATTTTGCCACTTCTCCTTGACGTATTTATTCGTAAATCACACAAATTAATCTTAATAATCAAGTTTAGGTTTAAGTACTTCAATATCATTAGAAAGCTATAAAAGCCAAACTAAAACCCGGATGTTTTGGCCCCCGGGTCGACGCGGCCCTAATTTTATAGAGTTTTGTGTGTGTGATACTTTTTATTTCAAAAATAAAATCCAAGAGTATGTAATGGATATTAAATTCAGATATACTTGTCAAAACACAAAGTTCTGCCACTTCTCCTTGACGTATTTATTCGTAAATCACACAAATATAATCTTAATAATCAATCATATAAATAATCTTAATAATCAAGTTTAGGTTTAAGTATTTCAATATCATTGAAAAGCTATAAAAGCCAAACCAAAACCCGGATGTTTTGGCGCCCGGGTCGACGCGCCCTTAATTTTATAGAGTTTTGTGTGTGCGGAACAAAACACAAAATTTTTTTGTTATTCGTCAATCACTGTTTTTTTTATTTATTGGCTTTTGATATACATCATAAGGCCAGATGCCATTCTTACAATTGTTTACTACAAATTCTTATTGAATTATTAACTTATAAATTAATTTTAGTATTACTAATAAAATTAAATCACAGTTAAATAGTTAATTAAGTTTAGGTATAAGTATCGAAGCTATAAAACTGTTTTCGAGATATAAAATAGAAACTTTTAATTATGTTTTGTAAATTTAATAGCTATTGCTGCTATAAAATATGAGCTATCAAATCGAGTTAATATTAATACTATAATTGCGATTTAAACTTCTTTATGTTAAAGAAAATTATTAAAATCTAAATTATCTTTTAGAAGATTTTAGAAGATTTATGTATAAATTAGGCACTTGGGCTTTGATTTCTCAAAAATGCTCTTATCTATTTTTTCGGAACTGAATTTTATATTTTTTAAATTCAATATGTAAAAAACTACAGAATTTAATTTTTATATAAGAGAATGAAAAATTCTTTCCAATATATTTCAAATAATATTGATTCCATGTAAAAAGTTAAAAAAAATTGCAACATTTTAGTTCATTGTTCATACATTTTATATATTTTTACATCTCAATGATTATTTTCACCCTGTCTAAAGCTGACACTGTATCAGAGAGGGTATGTTTGCGAACAATCTCTTTTCCTATTTAAGAATCCAATTCGAATCCAGCGATCATCCCCAAAGTAAATATACAAATCTCAGTTTATATTTTCATTTGCTTATATTATCTTACAGAAAACGGGAGAAGAATTTTGTTGAGACTATTTACAAAAAAATAAAAGGGGAAAAAATATCAGAAATAAGCCAGACGAATGTATCTTGGGAACAAGAAAAATGCTTGGTTAATTTTTAATAGCAAATAGTGAAACCTTTACTTTGAATTTAAAATTTAAATTAAGAGCACTTGAAAAATATCTGAAAGATTGACGATTTCCTCGATACTATTTTCTATCAATTTCCCTGTATAAACAATTCCATGTTTCTAGAACAAACTTCCACTCTAATTGATTTCTCGGATGGTGACAAATAGGGGTACAACGTTCAGTAATCTCTTTTTTAACGGGAAACTTAAAAAAAAATAGTCGAGGAAGAAATAAATTCATTCGGAATATCGACAGCGCGAATTTGCGGAAATGAACTCTTGGAGAGAAACGCAATTTTTATTTGCAGACTTTGGCGGAATGAAACGCAAATTTACGGTTCGAGAAATGGTAATATTAAAAGGTTTTCATACTTAAAAATATATGGAAGACCGAATCGAGTTTTTATGACAAAAATAAAGTGAAAACTCCGGTGCTATAATATGAAATGAGTAGGTTTTATAAAATTTTATGAAGAATTTTTTTTGAGTTTGTTATATTATTCATCACTTACGACTACTTATTTTGTTCACTCATAGACGCAAAATATTTTAAACAACTTGACACTATGAAATATTCTTTTTATTTGATTTATTTTACAAAAACGGTAAAATTTAACGACAACGACCCGGTTATTTTGGCGCCCGGCTCGATACGCCTTTAACCGCATTGAGTTGTGTGCGTGGAACTTTATATTATAAAAATTAAATTAAATAGCAAATGGTCACTGTTTATACGCATAATGCAGATACTAGTCAACTCACAAAATTCTGCATGACAAATATATTCGTCGAAAAAATCAAATTTCACCCTGCATGCATTTTTACAACTATTCCTCAATACTTTAGTTCAAAACTAATATGTACCTACTAAATTACGAAAGTTGTTGGGAATCCCAGATTTTACTAGTTTATTCGATGGATGAATATAACTAATTCTAATTTCTCTAATTCAGGATCTCAAGTGGAGCTTAAATTGGAACTTTGAGCTTTGCAGCAGTCGAAAGCTTCGCAATAATACACATCATTCAGGGTGAGTAATCTTCTTATGTAAATCTATTTGTAATTATCTTAACTGACACATGTATATGTATATATATACATATATATACTAGCAAACCCGGCCACGCTGTGCTGTGGCTTTCAATAAATGAATTTGTTGGGCAACCACGAGTAATTTTTTAAATTGTATTATTACGAATATGAACTGAGAATTTTAATTTTGACTGCAACCTAAGTTGGACTTAAACGCACTAGTTGAGTCAAAAAAAATTAAAATCGGTTCAGTGGTTTAGGAGTACATTCAGGACAAACATCGTGTTACGTTCCTTATTATATATAAATATATACGTTGATATCGTATTTCTCTTACTGAACTAAGGGAATCCATATAATTTAATCACATGTCAGGCAACGTTTGTTTCGTAGTTCTGCAAATTATTCCTCTGGGAAATATACCGCGTTCTGCAAACATCAAATAAATGCATCTGGTTACAATAAATTTGTTTGCGGGCTGTGGCAATTTAATATTGCGAGACATTGCAGAAATAAGATAAATTCTAATAGAAATTCGTAGAGATAAAAATATTTTTTGTTTAAGGCAAAAATCACAAAAATAATTTTACCCTCTCGACAAAAATATTTTCCACCCTGTCCATATAAAATACGATTATCTGTCACCGCCAGTATTTTCGAGTTAATATAGAAAGTACTTTAAGGGATCACGTACAAACAAACCGGCACAAAATATTTTGTTATATTTTTTATGTTGGGATTTTATTTGCATATTTTCTAATCAAGAGAATTATGTGAGAGGGCTAAGGGCGAAGCAAAACCTACCCCGGGGCTTGAATGTGATTAAATGTAATTTAAATATTTCTTTTGCTCTTTTTTAAACTGGAAAATGGGTTGAGAGGAAATTAAAACTGGTAGGAATAAATTTTATTTAGTAAATATCATTTTGTTACACATTTTGCTATGTGAAATACTATATGCATAATACGGTACGAATTCTTTTCTGTATGCAGCATATCATTTTTAATGAGATCGTTATAAGTAATGTAATATTCAAAGGGAATACTATATATGCAAATGATGTTATGAAATGCTTGAAACGTTATGTATAAAATAAGGACTTGATATAATTCAATCATCTATATCATTAAACAATGCTACACTTTCAAACTAAAACATACCACAGTCCTAACCATTTTACCTAGAATAAATATCAAATTTCATCTCTAATGTTTCAGCACATACGTAACATTTTCCCAGTTTCCATATAACTTTAACTTGGTCAAAATCAATATTTGTGCAACCCAAATCAAGATTTATAGTCACCGACAATAGAGGTGCATTTTCACAAACAGAAATGCATTTGATTTATTGTAAAAGATTGGAAAGTTTGCAAAAATGTTTGCTAAAAGTTTTGAAACTGGAGTAAACCGCGACTTGTTCATATAGTCAGATGGCAAAGATAAATAAATTTAATCAGTCAAATATCCACTTTTGTTAGAAATAATTAAAATAGTTAACAATTAGTCGTTGAGATTATTTATCCTGAGATTTTTAATTTTAATAATTATTATCAACACTGTCTTTTTTCAAATTGATAAATTTTAAAATATTTCATGTATAATTATGGTCATATTGGAGAAATTTATTTTTATATTAAAAACTTTATGAAAGTTAAGTGCTTCGACCCGGGCGCCAACCGGGTCGTTGTCGTCGACCCAAAATTTTTGGAAAAAATATAAATAAACGGGATTAAAATTATTCAATAACTATTTCATTAAAAATAATTAAAATAGTTAAAAATTAGTAGTTGAGATTGTTTTTATCCTAAGATTTTTAATTTAATTTAAATAATAACATCAAGAATGTTTTTTTTTTCAAACTTATGAATTTTAAAATTTATTATATATATTTATTGTCATACTGTAGAAATTTATTTTTCAATAAAAACCTTATAAAATTTAAGTGCGTCGACCCGGGCGCCAACCGGGTCGTTGTCGTCGACCCAAAATTTTTCAAAAAATAAACGGGATTAAAATTCGACGATCACTAAAATGTTAAAAATAAATTAAATTATTGTATTATATATCTTAATAATTGTTAAAAAGTCAATTATCTGGGTAAAATGTTTTTTATTTATTTTTATTAAATGCTTTTCAGCAGACAACACTTGTTGAAAATGGCTTGGATCATTTACAACAATGAATGAAATATAGCATACAGATTTATGAAACTCAAACTTTTCCATATGTAAATATGTCAATAATCAAAAAGTTTATTTTATAAATTTTAAAATGTATTATGTATGTTTATTGTTATCATGTAGGAATTTATTTTTATATTAAAAAGTTCACACACACAACTTTATGAAATGTAAGTGCGTCGACCCGGGCGCCAACCGGGTGGTTGTCGTCGACCCAAAATTTTTGAAAAAAAAAACAAAAATAAACGGGATTAAAATTATTTGATTACTATTTCGATTCGATTTTGCTAAATATCCACTTTCGTTAGAAATAATTAAAATAGTTGAAAATTAGTCGTTGAGATTTTTTCCTAAGATTTTTAATTTGATTTAAATAATAACATTAAGACTGTTTTTTTGCAAATTTATAAATTTCAAAATATATTATGTATAATTATTGTCATACTGTAGGAATTTATTTCTATATTAAAATGTTTCACACACACAACTTCATGAAAACTAAGCGCGTCGACCCGGGCGCCAACCGGGTCGTTGTCGTCGACCCAAAATTTTTGAAAAAAAAAACAAAAATAAACGGGATTAAAATTATTTGATTACTATTTCGATTCGATTTTGCTAAATATCCACTTTCGTTAGAAATAAAAAAAATAGTTAAAAATTAGTTGTTGAGATTTTTTTATCCTAAGAGTTTTAATTTAAATTAAATAATCATCAAGACTGTCTTTTTCAAATTTATAAATTTTATAAGTTTTAAAATATAGATATTTATTTTTATATTATAAAGTTTCACATACACAAATTTATAAAATCTAAGTGCGTCGACCCGGGCGCCAACCGGGTCGTTCTCGTCGAACCAAAATTTTTCAAAAAATAAACGGGATTAAAATTCGACGATCACTAAAATGATAAATTAAATTAAAATATTAAATTATATATATTAACACTGTCATAAAAACATTTATCTGAGTAAAATATTTTTTTATTTAATTTTCTTAAATGCATTTCAGCAACAAAACTTGTTGGAAATGGCTTGGATCATTTACAACAAAGAATGAAATGTATAACTTTTCTATATGTAAATATGTCAATAATCGAAAAGTTTATTTTATAAATTTCAAAATGTATTATGTATATTGTTATTGTGTAGGAATTTATTTTTATATTACAAAGTTTCACACACACACACAACTTTATGAATTGTAAGTGCGTCGACCCGGGCGCCAACCGGGTCGTTCTCGTCGAACCAAAATTTTTCAAAAAATAAACGGGATTAAAATTCGACGATCACTAAAATGATAAATTAAATTAAATTATTGTATTATATATCTTAATAATTGTTAAAAAGTCAATTATCTGGGTAAAATGTTTTTTATTTATTTTTATTAAATGCTTTTCAGCAGACAACACTTGTTGAAAATGGCTTGGATCATTTACAACAATGAATGAAATATAGCATACAGATTTATGAAACTCAAACTTTTCCATATGTAAATATGTCAATAATCAAAAAGTTTATTTTATAAATTTTAAAATGTATTATGTATACTGTTATTGTGTAGGAATTTATTTTTATATTAAAAAGTTTCACACACACAACTTTATGAATTGTAAGTGCGTCGACCCGGGCGCCAACCGGGTCGTTGTCGTCGAACCAAAATTTATCAAAAAATAAACGGGATTAAAATTCATTGATTACAAATATGACGAATTAAATTAAATTATTATATTAATAAATTATATATTAACACTGTCAAAAAATCAATTATCTGAGTAAAATATTTTTTATTTATTTTTATTAAATGCTTTTCAGCAGACAAAACTTGTTGAAAATGGATTAGATCATTTACAACAAAGCATGAAATATATAATACAGATATATAAAACTTAAACTTTTCTATATGTAAATATGTTAATAATCAAAAAGTTTATTTTATAAATTTTAAAATGTATTATGTATATTTATTGTTATCCTGCAGGAGGAATTCATTTTTATATTAAAAAGTTTCACACACACACAACTTTATGAATTGTAAGTGCGTCGACCCGGGCGCCAACCGGGTCGTCGTCGTCGAACCAAAATTTTTCAAAAAATAAACGGGATTAGAATTCGTCGATTTCTAAAATGATAAATTAAATTAAATTATTGTATTATATATTTTAACAATTGTCAAAAAGTCAATTATCTGAGTAAAATGTTTTTTTTTATGTTTTTCAGCAGACAAAACTTGTTGAAAATGGCTTAGATCATTTATAACAAAGAATGAAATGTATAATACAAATTTATAAAACTCAAACTTTTCTATATGTAAATATGTCAATAATCGAAAAATGTATTTTCGAATCACGTACATGCAGATTGTGGAATCAAATATAAATCATATTTTTGGCCGTGTTAAAAAGTTTTTTATAAAAACTCTCTGCGATCGATATCATAAGGTATATATATATATATATATATATATATATATATATATAACTTATTTCTGTTTCCATAACGTTCTAGTTAGATACGTTTTCCGAGCACCTCCGTCGGCTATGAAAAACGTCGTTTGGCGTAACACAAATGTGCAAAACGTATAAAATGTATAAGATGAATAAAATGTATGATGTATTACGGTCACATCATAAAAATGTGGAAGAAAATACAACAGGGGCAACAAACAAGTAGGGTATTATATTATACCCGAACGACGAGATAACAATACGCCTTATTGTCGTAGAAGACGAGTAGAGAGGACATCAGGTGTTCCTCGGGAAAAATTGTGTCGGAATAATGGCATGTGGTTTCTTTTTATTTTTTGTTCTAGTTTTTATAT